TGGAAACTCCATAAAGCTGGACCTCATATTATGATTTTACTAAAAGTATAGAGATAACTAAGTAGATCATGCAAGTTTAACTTTTGTATGCAAACCAGCCAGTCAGCACACTTCCTCCACAAAAAGCAACAGTGATTCACCTTCCTCACTTTGTAGGAAGTTATCGCTTTAGTCTCCTAGAGTCTGTTTTTCAGACTATGCCAAAAGGTCAACCAAAAATATCTATTTACTGCAGCTTCCGGTGCCGGAGAAAAGGGCATGAAAGACTCATCTCAAGACTGCCTGTGTAAAAAAGTATTACAGCATTTCTGCATTAGACTCATGACATTATCCATATTGACACACAGGTATTTATTTATTCCACTGAAATTCTACCATAGTAAGTATTAGAGATGCAACCAAGAGCAGGTTAAAAATAAAACTGCTATCATCTTTACTAAGCTTGCAGGAAGCTTCTCCCTCTTTATGTTACACCCGCTATTTTCATTTGCTGAAAAATATTAAGGCCTTTTACACCTGCCTGTTTGTAATCTACTTTCTAAATCTATATGAAACTACTTCCTATAAAAGAGGCACTACTCACTCATAAGAGACTGAGTCTTGAAAGCAGAATTCTCTACTTGCATCAAAATAATTTCACTTGAAGCTTGTTTTGTAACCACATTTTGCATTTTTTTCAGCTTTAGTAGTCTAGAAATAGGTTTATTCATCTGGAAATAGCTAAGTACTAATATTGAGATTTTTAAGGGGGGGAAAAAATGAAATCTTGAAATAAAATTTAATTCAAAGCCTGTTACAAAAATACTTCATGTTGGAGACAGCTTTGACCTCTCATTCTCCATCTCTCTTGCTTCTGAATTACACACAGAAGTCTCAACACTATTGAATATTTTTTTTAATTTATTTTTAGAAAAACCCATAAAACCTATACCATTAACCCATAAACTCCATTCAAGTGCTAAGATCAATCAGCCCTAATTTAAGTCACTAGTAGCCACTGAACAATCAAAACTAAAACAAATATTCTGTAATTACATGTAGATAAGAATTATAAGAGCTGATGAGATAAATACTTCTATAAAATAAATGTTTAAATTTTCTTATTTATCAGGAAAACTACATGTCCACAATGGCCTCTGAAGTAAATACTTCACAATTTTGAAAAATACAAAAAACCCAATCCACATTACTGTTAACTTACTACCTTTCTCCTCAGTATCAGTTTTTGTCTTCTGCCAATAGTTCACAATATCGTACCTTTTTTTCTTCAAATTCCTGTTGAAACAACAACTTACCAGGAACCCATGCAGACCAGACTGTTAACTACCCAACCAGCAAGAAGGCAGCACCAAACAATCTCTCCTGAAACACAGCCCTGGCCACAGCCACAACACTCCTGAGAATAAATACTCTATTATAAGCAATTAAATTTATAAGGCACTTCAATACATTCCAGAAAAACACCAGCAAGTTTCAGCTGCATTTTATTTTTCTGTATTTAAAACTAACTAATCAAATTTGATCAGAATTCCCAACTGCACAGAACAGATCCACAGCTTTTTTTTTCCCACCATCCCATCACTTGGCAAGCATCAACTATCACATACCCAGACCTAGCAATTGCCCTTCATGACAGCAGAGTGGGTGTTTTTTTCTCTGGATGCATCTCTGCAGAGAGCTTTCAACAGCAGTCAATATGTTAGAAGGTCAAAGGTGTAAAATCTGCACTAGAAGCAGAAAGTAGAACAGAAGTCCATTGCTGCCATTCCACAGCTGTGTAAAAATACCAAGTGTGTCTGCTAAATAAGGATTAGGTACCATGGAAACCCACAACCTCTGGAGGCAAATTTCTACCAAAAAGAATTCAAAGAGATTTATACTGAACCTCGCTGAAAAATATGTTAGAACAGAACAGCCTTTCTGCCAAAGTGAGAGTCTTCATGTAATAGTAAAGCGATCCATAATAACTGAAAGAGTTTTACATGCACTTCACTTAAGTGATAGTTAAATCATTTTAGTCAGTTCTTTTTAACAAGGGATCTTTAATCTATCAGATTTTTCAAGTGTTGTTTTGTTGCTTGTTTTTGCTTTTTTTTAAAAAAAAAAGCTTATAAGCATGTCAGGAAAAAATTAAAACAAAACCAATGAAAATTAGGACTTTGTGAAGAAAATAATGAAATAAATGTTATAAATATACATAGTATGTGTATAGGTAGATGCATAGATATAGCTCTCTCTTCATCCCAATGGGTGCTTAACATAAAACATTTTTCTTGCTCTTTCATTTTTCATGGATTATAATCCAGATTTAAACAGTTAATTACACATTTAACAGCACCACATATGCATTTCCAGTAACTCCCTATGGCTTCCAAGACATCTATTCCTTCCCATCCCCCACATTAGCAGCAAAAGTGGAGCTATTAGTAAAGTACAATAACATGCCACGTGTCAATACAAGAACTCTTTTAGAAAGGTAAGTACTCTCAAACTAATGTTACTAGAAGTGTGTGGTTACCCCTTAAAATACATCAATTTCTATCTACTTAGTTTTTTAGGTTTCTTTTCCACTAAAGAATTATTCAGAAACAATTCCAAATACTGAAATTTTTGTATGATCCAAACAGATACATGTTTCATATTTATTATAAAATTATAAATCAGGCATTGTTTCCAAGATTTTTCCTATTACATGGTTATAGGAATTAATGGTAAACTTTGTCAACAAAACCCTGAAGTCTCTAATACCAATAAAGACCATGGCTGGGACCAACATTTTTCAAATCTTCAAGCAAGAGTTAAAAAATACTTCCAGAAAAAGAACTGGTAAAAAGCTTCGTCTAGAGTTTGTACACTACAAAGTATTGCAACCCTGAGTTATTCTAGGATTTAGAAGTTACTCAAAAGATTAATATGTACCATGTCACCTTCTTTAAGTTAAATGGTAACTCAAGAACAGCTTGAAGAACTGGTTTAAATTCCACAAATAAAGTACAAAATGAAGCTCTCCTCCTCAAAGACTTTCTTGTTAGAAGAGTGCATAATACAGACCTACTAATAAAATGGAAGCATGTTACTGAGACTAGAGGCCAGTCTAAGGAAGTATTCCCTCTCCAACACAATCATCAGGATACACAGGCAGCATGCAACCTTAGTCACTTATTTGCCACCCATTTTCCTCAGACTCCTCTGACAGTCACAGCTGCTATATTACAGCTGGTTAACATGTAAATCTGTCTATTCTATTTGTATCTGTTACGGATGTGATGTGTGTGAATTTACGTTCCCGAATCTGCTGGTTCTATCTGCCTCAATGTGTATTAACAAACCCCGTATGTTTGCTTCTCCTTGCCTTTTCAGTGATTCAAACCAAAATTCAGTGAATGCTCTCCAGTTTTAATATTGCATAATTTGGTGAGTAACAGCTCCACAACTTGCTTCAGCCACTGCCTTTGACTTTGTAAGCAACTGATCACTTCCAACTGCCCCCCTCCACTTCAGATGCCACTTTTAAGAAGGCTCCTTCCCTTTTCCATCTGTAGCCCCTCTAGGGTCCTCTTGTGAGAGCCTAAAACTGTGTACAGTACCCAACATGTGGGCAAGTCCTAGGTTTCATGCAACGATTCTTCCTGTTTATTCTCACCACGTTCTTTGACGATGGATAACATTTTATCTCCTGTTTATTCTCACCACGTTCTTTGACGATGGATAACATTTTATCAGGATTTGTTGGCAGCTGCCATTAAACCAGCAGCTTCAGCAAGCCATCAGTGACAGCTCCAAGAACTGCATGTCTAAAGGTCATATCTTTTACTTACCAGCAGCTTTAAAGAATTAGCACAGAAAGTAGATCCCAGTCATGCTAAAGTCGCACAGAACATACAAAACATGTAACCTGTAAAAGCAGAGTGAATAGGAAAGCCTGTAAAATTAGGAAACGGACAGGGCTGTCACCAAGAGCTAACTCTATATTCAACAGTTAGTTTCAGCTTCCATTTCAGCCTACAAACATCTACTGAAAAATTAAATCTTGATTGAAAAAGCTGAATATTTTTCTAAATATACTATGTACGTTTCACTTAAAAGCCCAAGTGAAGTAGTAAGGTTCACATACAATGATTTCTAATAAAGACAAGGCAGGTAGATGCTAAAAATTACAAATTCCTTTTACAGAGGGAGGGATAAAGAGGAGGAGCTTTTTCCCAAAGAAGTATCATGGTAACTGAACTGCAGAAGCATACATACAGTTGCACTTTAAGTCCCTGATTTGAGAGAAGGAAGGAAAAAACTACTCAAGTTTGAGTCTACTTTATCACAGGTAAGTGTCCTCAAAAATTCTGGAGTAAAACTCAAAAAAAACTTCAAATGCCTCAACTTTATTGACAACACAGAGGATTTTTTTCTTGTACACTTGAATAAAGCTGGACAAGCAGGAGTAGTTTCCTTCTCTACAGTACTGGTCAGCTTAAAATGAAATAATTACATAAATAACATATAAATCAAAGGACATTATTAATCAATAAGAGCAAACCCTCTTTATTCTTATTAGAGGATTAACTGTGCTTTTTTCAGCATACCTAATTTTCTTAGTAACTGAAAAGCAGAGCACTCAAACTCCTCAATATAAGAGAGTAGAAAATCAAATAATTAGATAATACAAACAGAAATTTCAATAGCTTAAACATCCCAGACACATACACATCAGCTGAACACACTTTTTGTGCACTGCATGCAGAAAACAGACTCTACTGAAAAGATTCTGATTTATGGTATCCTTTCTCTTTCATCCACTACAGGACTCACTTCAGTAAAGTTAAGCTTCTGATTATAGAAGAGCTAAACAAAACCAACAAAAACAGCAGCAGTCTAGGATGTTTAGCTCTTCTTAGGAGACTACAGGACCAAGGTAGTACTACCTGTAAGTCATAGGGAGTAATTAAACAAAAAAAAAACAAACATAGCAGACATTGAGGTACATGAGAAAGGAACATGGGCCATACAGCTTCATCATCAGCCATGGCCTCACACTGCAGTGCATGAGTGGCCTGCTCATTTGTTCAAATTATGCACTCTCATGCTAGAACTTGGAACAGTCTTTTAGAGCAAAGAAGCTTGTGCAAGACTTTTCCCTAATAATTTATTCTATGCATTTGATGCAAGTCAATTTTATAACCACAACTCTGGAGTTTCAGTTAAGAGTCTTAGTGCTTCAATACATTCTTTAAAAATATCTTGGGTATTGTTTCCCTCAAATTCCAAAATATGACAATTGATTCAAAGTACCATTATCAAAATGGACTGCTGGCCTCGGTTATCACCCAGGACTCAAATTCCTCAAAAATGACAAGTGTTAACTACACTGACTATTACCAAAGCAAGGCTTAAACATGAGCTTATGCTACTTTACAAGCAAAAAAAAACCCCACCAAAACACAACAAAGAACCCTTGTTTTTTGCAATAAGCAGGTAACTGATACTGTAAGCATCTTCCTGCCAATAACCTTTCTTTAAGACTTCTCTAGAGAACCTTTTCAGATTAATGAAAGTAAAAATACTCAGTTACTCCAGCTACATATATATACATCTTTACTAAAAACATGATTGTGACCTCTCCTACAGCAATAATCAGTCAAGATTAACAGGATTAATGTCAAAAGGTAAAACAGTGTTCAAAGCTACCATGGACAGACTATGTTTGATAATAAGTTACCATGCAATAGTTGAAGACCAATGTTTTTCTTCACTCTTAACTGGAAGGACACGTTTTACAATAAGGAAAATGACAGATCTCTGCCAAACACCTTGAACAGTAACTCAAGAAAAAGAAAAATGGAATTACAAACTGAAATAGATTCATATACAAATTATTGACGGTGGTCAATAATTATTGAGATGGTTTTGTGTCTACACCATTCAAAGTTTGGAGGCTTGTTTTCTAAATGATTCTGTCCATGCCAAACGTTGTTGGAGGAGGCACAGCCAGGGCTGGAGTTGGGGGTGTGACTCAATATCTAATGCTTTAGCTACAGAATGACTGAAAACTAAGTTATGCTATAGAAGTTTTAGGCTAATCTTAACCGACAGTAATGGAAATGATGCTTAATTGGAATAAACAGTTAAAAGATAAAATGGAAACATATTTTTTTCCACTTTCACTGTAAATATGAAAGCCATACATAAGGCATCCACATCCTGCATGTGCTGTAAGCCTGGGCTATGCAAGTCTGAAATGACTTCAGCACAAAACAGAAGAAGTTACTCATGGTCACTAAAAACCCAGCTGGCAAAGGAGGTGCCCGTTTCTAAAATCAGCTAGCTGTGACAGCACTTGTCCAGGAAGTGGGAGACCTAAGCTTCAGGCAGCTCAAACCCACAGTCTTGACTGTGCAATAGCTCAGTT